TGGGGGCCCCGGGGGGCGGCGGTCGGGGAGGGGCCGTGGGGTGCGCGGGGGCGAGATTGGATTGGGGGCAGGGAGCGGCAGAATGCTAAAAAAATTCTAAATAGCCGTTCTAAAGTATTTGGGGGCCCCCTCTTGGGTTCCGGGGTGCCAGGAATCCCTGCGCTCCTCCGCGGGGGTGCGGGGCCAGCTGGGTGGTCAGTGTCCCAGGCCCTAGCGGTGGCGAGGGTCCCCGCTTCCCGCCATCGGGCTAAGAGGCGGGGGTGCCCCGTTGCAGTGCGGGCGCAGGTGGCTCGGCGCCGGGTTGGGGGTCCCCGAATCTCACTGGGAGCTGCAGGGGAGGGGGAAGTCGGGCGGGCAGGTCGCGCAGCCGCCACCTGCCCCAGCAGGCGCAGCGCCTCGAGCTGCAGCCGGAGCCCGAGCGCCCCCCGGTGCCGCGCGGGAGCCGACGAGTAGCCGCGGCGGCCGCCAGGTGTGATACGTGGGGCCGGCCCAGGCCCCAATCTGGGCCAGGGCATGGGGCCTGCCTAGGCTGCGCCTGCCCAAGGAGAGAAGAGGAGGGCGGGAAACATCGCTCAAATCCTACCTGCATTACAGAGCTCACTGGGGTGCGTCTAAGCAGCTCGCCTTTGGTGCCCACCCAAAATATCCGGATAATGGTTACCCCGTCCTCAGTGCGTTGGACTTGCGTAGACTTGGACTCAGCCCCGGGGGCCACCACGATAATTTGGGGATCTGGGGAAACTATCTCCTGGAGAGTTTGGACAATGTAAGAAGTGATTTTTACCAAGTCAAAACCACGCACAAGCCCCTGCGCCCCTGCGCCCCGCCCTCCCCACAGAACCTCTCCGAGGGGAAGGGGCCGCCGCCGGCGGAAGCCCGCGCCCGACTCGCCCCCTCGCTCCGCCATCAATCACTGCACCCGCGCTCCGCGCGCGCCTCCCGGAGTCCTCTGCCCGGCGGGCTAGTGGCTCCGCGCTGCGCTCCGCCGCGCCGCCCGAACGAAGTGCGCCTCTCCTCGGCGTCCCTCCGACCCAGCGCCCTGCCCGCCCCTCTTCGGGGCCGCCAAGGCGCTTTCCCCACGATTGTGATCTTTGCAAAGAGCTAACGAAAGCGCGCCGGTTTCGGGGCGCTCGGCCCCAGCGAGCGCAGCCGCCGAGCGGCAAGCCCTCAGAGGGCTCCCGCGCCCCGCGCCGGGCTCCCCGGCGGCCGCCCGAGGCGAGTGCCAGCCCCGGCAGGACGGCGGCGGGTGCAGGCGGGGAGATGGGCCGGGGCCGCGGAGGCTGCGGGGAGCTCACCGCAAGGCTGGAGGCTGGAGGCTGCGTCCGCGGGCGCACTAGGAGCTGAAGCAGCGAGGGAGCGCTCTGCAGCGGGAGATGGACGCTGCTGAAGGTGAGCTACCCCGGGGGCAGTCCCCAATGTCCCGGGGCAACGCCCAGTCGGTTGGAAGACCCAGGGACAATGCCCAAATTTGGGGGAAACTGGGGGCAATGCCCAGTCGTTTTCCTGGACGCGGGAGAAGCACTGCCCACGTCCTGGCGGACACGCTGCCGGACCAAGTGTGTGTGGGGAACACAGAGAGAAGTTTCCCAAATCCAAGGAGCTCCGGGGTCTTCGTAGGAGACGTAGAGAGGCCCGAAACCAGTACTGCTGTGCGCCGGATTGGGGACGCTGCAGAGGGCGGCCTGCGGGGCCGGAAACGACGCCCAGATAGGGGGGAACGCAAGTCAGAGCTCTGCGTGATTCTCAGGCCCGGGAAACGAGTGTCCCGAAGTAGGGCGCCCAGGGGAGGCTCCATGGATGTGGGGAACTGCGATTAATGACTAAATTTGAGACTCCAGAAGGAGAGTCCAAGTTTGGGGGATCAGGGGAAATTGCTCCGTGCAATTGCGGAACAAGGGATCCGAGTCTAAAAAGTGGGGAACCCAGCATCTTGGTCAGTAAGCATGGGCGAAATCCCAGATGAATTTGTGGAGAGGTGGGCTTTTGGGTGAGTCAAGGGAAATTCTCAACGTGAAACTTGGGGGGACCCAAGAGGCACATTGTCTAAAAGTTGGGGAAGAAAAACCACGGGCACATTTCGAGGATCTAGGCAAATTCTCCATGTGGTGGACAAAAGGAGAGATTAATTTCCACAATTTAGAAATGCAAGTGAGTGGATGGACGCTTGCAGCGCCCAAAGTAACTTCCGTGATTGTCGCGGCTTCAGCGAAAATTCTCAGTGTCCTTTAGAGACTCAAAAAACACCCTCTAAATTTGGCGGAAGCCAAAGTGTGTTGAGTACATTTGGGGAATGCAGAAAATCGATGTCTTTTTGTATCTTAATTTTTCAGCTAATTTCAATTAGTTTATTTTTGGTGAACAGGAAAAAAAAATCCTGTTTTCCTGGGCACTGTCGGCATTCGGGGAGCTCTAGTAAAGCATGGCTCAGGTTAGGGGGAATCCAAGCAAATTGTCCAGTGGAGGTGTATATCTAAATTTCAGGAACCCTGGTTAGTATTGAGGAAGCTTGTGGGACACAGTTCTATAATGCCTGGGCCTTCTAGGCCCCAGTGATATTTTTCGGTTCCTGCACATTTTTCATTTGGGGGGCCGATGGAAAGTTGCCTACATTTAGAGGGACTCCGGGCCAGGGTCATAAAGTCAGGCAATACGTAAATCAGTGTCCGAAAAAAGCTCAATTGTTTTGTGGAGGAAAAAAATCTCAATTTGTTTTGAAGGTCTGGAAGATGGCACCTCAATTTGGAGGCCCCAGGAAAATAATTTTTTGAAGCTGGGGCTCCAGGGAAGTTGCTCAGAGTCCTCAGGAAGAGTTGAGGGTCAATAAGTTTTAGGGGAAAAGGATTAAGAGTTCCTAGGTTGTGGGGCCTGGAGAATCAGTGTTCAAAATCTGTGATCTGCAGGGCGTTTGCAGTGTGTGGGACACCCAGGAAATCTTGCTAAAATTTGGGGGTGACTCAGTGACTGCACAGGATGCTTTGGAGCCCAGGAAATCAGTGCCTTTCTGTAACCCAGGGGTAATACTGAATGTGTTTGGGGGGCCTGGAAGGCAATGCCTAATATTTGAGAGCCTCACATGTCCTGTAATAGAGGATCAGGACTAGAGTCCAGTGTTGTCCTGGGATTTGGGACCAGGGTCTGAATTTTAAAAAACCTGGATTCTTGTTGCTAAGCTAGTGGGACCCAGGGAATTTTTTAATGTTCAAAACGTTATAATGCAGAGAAAATGTTCAGGATATTTGGGGACTGGGGACAGTCAATAGAGCCTGACATAACAAGATACAGGCTCTGAGCAAGGGTTTGTTTTGTGTGTGGTGTGACCCAAGGGGACCTGCGAGACCGTGCATGATTTAGGGGACCCCGCACAACCCCCGGTCACGACCGAGCGCAACTCATCCTATTGCTCGGCGTGCTTCCGGGCCTGAGGAACAGTGTCGAAATGTTAAGGAACCTGATCAGTGGCCAGGAAACTGGGAGAGCCCCAGAAATTAATGCCCCTAGTCTTCGTAGCCCACGAAAAGAATTGCTTAATGAATTCCGGGGATCAGGAATCATCCTCTCAATTTTGTGAAACTCAGGAAATCAGAACGCAGATTCTTAACCATTCGGAAAAGGGCTTGGTGTGCTTCGCGTGTAAAGCCTGAACGTTAGTGCAGGCGTAGGAAGCAGCGTTCAAACTCTGAGGGTTCCGGGGAAATTGCTTAGTGTGTTGGGACCTGGGATTCTTTGTGTAACATTTAGGGAACCCAGGGTGGAGGCTAATAAATTTGTGGAACTCAGCGGATAATGTCCCAAATTGTGGTGCATCGGGGAACAGGGGCTGCAGTGTGGAGGAGCCAGAGCGGGGACAGTAAGCCTGGGAAACCGTGTAGTTAGTGTCCAAAGTTATGGGGACACAATAGTTCACGTCCGCTTGTTTGGGGAACGATACCTAAGTGCCAGAAAAACACCTTCCACGTTCTGGCGAGCCAGGTAAACTGGTCAGCATGACTAAGACCCAGAGTTAATGTTTAAATTTTAGGGGATCTGGTTTGGCAGTGAGTAAATCTGTGGGGCCTGGAGAGGGGTATGTAAAACTGTCAGAGCCTGGGAGAAAATGCCAGGTGGGGACCCAGGGCACTAATGTAAATCTAGGGAAGCCAGTGCGGGCTTGATGTGTTCGGAGGTCCCCGGAAAGTAATGTCCAATAAAACTCTTGCGACCTGGAGAAACGCTGAATGTATTTGGAGGACCTGGGAGCAAGGATCCCAGAAAAAATAATCTCCGCGTTTGCGGGGAGCGAGGAAGTGCCTCCGTGGGTTGGGACCCTGGAAATGGAGGGCTACATTGAGAGGCCAAGCTCCCGGGGCTGGCCAGGGAAGCAACG